TTGAACACAGATTTTAAGTTAAGAACCCTCTCACTGCACAGTAAAGAGTTCTGATTCTATGGTAGTTTTGCATTTAGAGTGATCTGCCCTTAGATCTATATTCCAATAAATTGAAATTTACAGTACTTTACTCAATTTGTAACCCATTCATAACATTTTAAATAGCCAAAATAAATAATTTGAACACCTCATCTGCATGCTTTTCCCCACTTAGGTAAACAACAGTGATTTCTGCATGTTCATCAAAACTTTAATTGTTGACTTCGAACATTTTTCCTGGGGGTAAATGCCAGGCACTCTATGTTGAAAATGATATAAATAAGCTCAATATTCACACCTTTATACAATATAATTTTCTCAATGTCCAAAAAACATTTTCGTTTAGTGTAGAGAGGATCCTTAATAGTTTCTAGAATTTTCATTATAATATCATGACACATACCGGTATGCTGCTAGAGCACTTCACACCAAAATTTTATAAAAGCGTGTTTAGAAACTACTTTTATCTTGAAATTATAAACTTAAAGTAAAAAAAACGAAATGTATCATTAAAATTATCAAGCACGTCGTCTGCAATTTGCCAAAAAAAGATCTTGCAAACACCCTAATGCTATTTACGTCCTGTCTTTCCGTCCGTCTGTCCTCCGTCGTCCGCCGTGTGTCGTCTGTAAACTTTTCATATTTTCAACTTCTTCTCAAGAACCTCTGGGCCACTGGGCCAATTTCAACCAAACTTGCCACAAAGTCTTCTTGGGTAAAGGAGATTTAAGTTTCACAGAAAGTATCATGCGCTCTCTCAACTGGAGAATTAAGAATTCGTGAATCTTTTTTTTTCTCAAGAACCACTGGGTAAGAAAAGAAGAAATTTGTGTGAAAGCTTCATTACATAATCTTGATTCAAGTTTGTTCATTCATAAACCCCCAGGGGTAGGGCGGGGCCACAAGAGGGGCTCGAAGTTTTAAATAGGAATATCTAGGAAATGTCTTTAAACATCTTCTTCTCGAAAACAGCAAAGCCATGTTTAGTAAAATTTATTTTAGAAGAATCCTCAGGTAGTGTAGATTCAAGTTTGTTCCAATCATGACCCCCTGGTGTAGGGCAGGGCAACAAGAGGGGGTCAAATTTACCATAGGAATTTATAGGAAATATCTTTTTAAAAAACTTCTTCTCAAGAACAGCTAAGCAATTATTAGTCATATTAATATAGAAGTATCCTCAGATAGTGTAGATTCAAGTTTGATCAAATCAGGACCCCTGGGTTTTGGGCGCAGACACAACAGGGGGCCAAAGTTTTAAATAGGAATATTATACATTTATTGCATGATCGTGACGTGAGTGAAATATGAAGATTTATTCTACAAAGAAAAATCATATTCCCTGAAGGTTTCGCCCAAGAGAATATGAAATTTATTGGCTGAATAAATCTTCGTGTTTCCCGAAAATTCATGCAATAAATTGTTTATTTTGCCGAAAAAAAGCAAAAACTTTAAAAATAAACATAAACTTTCAAATTCGGCATCGCTCTAAAATTCACTTTCAATTTTAACGTAAAGTTACTGAAACCCTTGGACATATTACACTCTGATAAAACAATCACGATTTTGTGACGTGAACCAGACTATTGTTACGTACTACTCTCGGGAGTTTTGGTTAAACGAACAATAACTATTGCGGGAAAATGCACTAGGTCTCTGAAGAGGTTGAATATGATCACAAGCATGACAACGACAGGGAAATATGAAGTTTTATGGCCCTGTCACGTGATAATCTAGAACCAATCAGATAACACATTGTAAAGAACAATAATAATGAGGTATAATAAATAGGAAATGTCTCTAAAGATTTTCTTCTCAAGAACAGCTAAGCCATTATTAGTCATATTAATGCAGAAGTATCCTCAGGTAGTGAGCGAAATTTAACTAGAATTAAAATAAGAAATAAAAAATAAAGAATTTATTTAATTTTGGAAAAGAAGTTAGAGTAAAAAAAGATGATAAGAACATTGAAAAAGAATTGTGGCACTGATGCCCCTCCGTAGTTTCTCATATCAAAATTCGACAAACGTGCAAACTTTACATTTGTAGACTTGTGAATTGTCTTTGTGTTTCACTCAGGGCGCAAAAATACAGATTCCGGAAAACAAAGTTTACAACATCAAAAATACACACATTAATAGTATAAACTCAAAGTCAACACAGTTGTATTTTAAAAACTACATGTTTTGATGTCGGAATATTACCTTATTACATATGTAATGCACGGATCTAGAGGGGGGTCGTGTACACCCCCCCCCCCCTGAATTTGTAAAGGTATAAAAAGTGTATATTGAAGCAAATAAAAAATGACTATGGACCCCACCATCACCAACACGAAATAGGGGTTTTCTAGGTTTTGGAACTGGACCCCCCCTTTTTTATTTTTACTTGTCAAGTAATTTTCTGGATAGGGAAGGGAATTAGGTTTTGTTTTTTTTTTTTTTTTTTTTTTTTTTTTTTTTTTTTTTTTTTTTTTTTTTTTTTTTTTTTTTGGCTTGTCAAGTAATTTTTGTGTTGGAATTTTTTGTTGACTGGGGTGGAACCCCCCCCCCCTCCCCGGAAAAAAATTCCTGGATCCGCGCCTGTATGTAACCTATGAAACTGATACTATTGCAAGTTGGGATTTACAAACTTACAAGTTTGGATTTTTTAACACGATTACCCTCCATATATTTCTGAAAATACGTTTCAGCGCTTGCAGTACTTTGATTTACAAACCGAAAATATTCACTGTTCCTACAGGTAAAAGTTTTTGTATAATTATACATGTATTTCTTTATGATACCAAGCATGGCAACGACAAGTACATCCCAGCAATTCACAGAATGTGAAAAATGCTCAGGAAATTACGAGTTCCACTGTAATACCTGTCACCTTTCAATGTGCCAGAAATGTGGAGACTCGAGAGATGCACGAAACCCATGACGTTGAAATGGTGTTGAACCAGCAACACCGGTCGAAGTGTAAGGAGGGAAAATGCAACATTCACAAAACAAAACCGTCGAATATTTGTTGTGTTGCATGCAATATTCAGTTGTTTTCACAATGCACAACTCTCCAACAGAAAGGACATACTTTCGTTGATATAGACACGCCCTTTTTGAAATATCCCAAAGATGACACTCTTCATGGGAAAGTACAGGTACCTATTTCAAGAGGAGAAAAAAGAATTGCTGGTGAAATGGATGTTGGACAGAAAACAAGAGATCCTTCAAAACGAACACGTCAACATGGTCAAAGAAAGAAAAATATTTCCATCTCTGTCAATAGAAGCAAAGGATGAAAGAATGCCCAAGTGCCTCGCAAGCTCTCCCACGAAAGTAAGAGAATTCAAGGTACCGGAGGGTATTAAACATATCTCACGTGAAAAGTCAGGGAAATTTTGGATAAGTAATTTTCTGGGTGATATAGTACAGACTGAAGACCAAGGAACACAGGTTATTATGGAAAGCCATAGGGGACCCCCATGTCATGTTCCATATATTTCATTGTAAATCAATCCTGGCCGGTCAGGATATTAATCATGACCATGTCAAGATTTCAAACATGACCAAGCCATGATTTTCATCATCTTAACCAAGTCAGGATTGATAACATGACCAACCTATCTTGGCCAAGTCAAGATTTATAACATGGCCATGCTATCTTGGCCGTGGTCATCATATAACATGGCCATCCTATCTGGGCCAAGTCAAGATTTATAACATGGCCATGCTATCTTGGCCAAGTCAGGATTGATAACATGGCCATCCTATCTTGGCCGGTCATCATATATCATGGCCATCCTATCTTGGCCAAGTCAAGATTTATATAACATGGCCATGCTATCTTAGCCAACTCAGGTTTGATAACATGGCCATCCTATCTTGGCCGGTCATCTTGACCAAGTCAGGATTGATAACATGACCATCCTATCCTGGCCAAGTCAAGATAACATGACCATCCTATCTTGGCCAGGTCATGATTTAATCTTGACCAAGTCAGGATTGATAAAATGGTCATCCTGTCTTGGTCGGGTCATGATTCAATGTTGACCAAGTCAGGATTGACAACATATGACCATCCTATCTTGGTCGGCCAGGATTGCATTGCGCCAGGATATATTACTTCCAAACGCAGCCAAGATTTCTTCAAGCGTCAATCCTGGCCAAGTCAGGATGTATTTCTTCAAACGCAGCCAAGATTTCTTCAAGCGTCAATCCTGGCCTAGTCAGAATAACATTGCGCCAGGATGTATGACTTCCAAACGCAGTCATGATTTATTCAAGCGTCAATCCTGGCAAAGTCAGGATGTATTTTCTCAAACGCAGTCAAGATTTAAGGTTATGATTGCATTGCGCCAGGATGTATGACTTCCAAACACAGTCAAGATTCGCTTTAGTAGGATAATATGTAAGCGCTTCCCTAACGCCGAAAAACCGTGTATTGGGTTTCCAACCTCCCCGTTCGTCTCAGCTGACAAGTAAGGTAAGTTCAGGTGAATTTTCACTTGTAAATCTTTATGAATAGCTTAGTTTGCTGTTTTAAATAAGTATTTTATGCAATGGTTTTTTGGAATAAATCGTATGAACAACATTCCAACAATCAAAGACATTCAGCAGTTTTCATCGAGGAAATTCGAATTTGTCTATCGACACATTTGTTACACAATTAAAAAATAAATGGCTCTTTAATTTTCTATGCAGTTACGACCATGAAGAAATATGGTATTTTAGTTGCATTTAGAATCAAGTTGTTTTACAATGCATTCAAAAGAAATTTGTTTAATACTCTCATTCAAATGTAGAACTTTGGGGCTAAATTGGAAGGGGGGCTTCATCCTGCTATATACAGATAAATTACAACACCTACTGTATTATATTTTTGCAATTTAAATTTAAACATATCATTTATATACATTTTTTTTTCTTTTTAGTACCAAGTAACAGTGATTTGTGTGTACTGAACTATCAACATATTAACTGATTAAACTGCAGACCCATACCAAGACTGGTGATAGATATGTAGGTAGGTGTTCTTTTACTTCTTGTAATTTGGGGCAAATACATCAAATTTGAATTTTAATCATGTCTTTTTATGAAAAGATGCTTTTTAAACATGTATTCATATCAATTAAGAAAAATAATTAGCAAACAATGTTTGTGCGACTTCTTGTATTGGAAAAAAATATCGTTTCTTGAAAATTTAAATATACATGTACATGTATCCTTTTATATTATTTGCAGATACACATATATATGACTAATGCATGTATATTAAATATGTATTAACTATTAATAGTATTTTAGATTGACGCATGCTGACTGGGGACTATGGGTATGGAAAACCATTTTGCAGTAATTAGGAATGTGCAGCTGAAGATGGTACACTTCATTTACAAGCATTTCAAATTTATAATTGTCTATATATACTTTCTATTTGTTTTGACAAAAAGGAAACCAGCAATCATACATAATGGAATTATATTATGTTTTCCAATGTCAAGGTCAAAGATCAAAGGCCAAGACTGATGTCAGCTTGAAAGAAACCACTCTGTGTATTGGATTTGCAAGATAAAAGATGATGAATTAATTAATGCACCAGTTTCAAGTCCAAAGGTCAGTACAGTAAAACACCGTTAATGTGAACATGCTTACAATGAATTGATGCTTATAGCGAATTGATTTTTATTGTCCTTGGCTTTAAATCACATTGTGAACTTAGCAGATATGATAAATAATGTTTGTAATGAAGTTAACAACTTGCATTGATTTTCATAATTTTTTAATTTACATATAAAGTTACAAGATGATAATCATACATGTTTGTATTTGTATTGCTAATCATGTATTGTTTCTTCTTATTCGAAGATTGAAAAGCACCATTTAGATCAAGATCAACTCCAAATATTGCTTAAAACCTAATTTGTACCAACAACTGAATCCAGAAGAGGGCAGCCTTGATAGGACACCCATAAAAAGAGCTAAACAGGTATAGTTTACCAATTTCAAGTTCAGAGATTTGTACATTTTGTTCAAATTGGAGTTTAAAATCAAATGGGGCCCACAATATTTTAAGAGAAAACGTTTTTTAAAAAATATTTTTAGTCAATTTTTGCTCTAACTTTGAAATATGCACTGAAATGGATTAAATTTTTTTTCAGAGCTTGGCAATAAATGACACCTCTACCAGTTTCAGAATCACCGCTCATCTGTTGAGAGTATTTTTTCTTTGACCTACACAGATGTTGATGTGTAAAGAAAGAGATCTTCACTGAATTATTTTTACATAGAATTTAATCTTCTCAGATTAAGCTGTAAGCTGAATAGAGATTTTCTGATCATCCATTGTGCAGCATCGTTTGTCTATAAACTGTAATCATTTCAGACTTCTTGAGAACCACTGGTTCCCCCTTTGAAGAGGAGATAATCAAGAAGGGCAAAATGGGGTGGGGAGAGGGATTATTTAGAAATCTTTTCAAGAACCTCTTGGCCAAAAAGTTGAAAGGTTTATGACAAAGGATAGTGTGAATTCTGAATTTTTCAAATTGTGGCGATCATGAGTAGTTTACAATTGATCATTGATTAATGAAGTTTAGAGAGTCTAACATGGGTTTGTGCTTTCAATCACATTTCGCTTTTGCACAGCTTCCTCTAAGGTTAGATTTTCAAATGTGGAGAACCCTGGGTAGCATAGGTCCAGATGGGGATCTAACTTTAACATGGAAATATACAGGAATTTAAAGTTTTTTTTTGGATATAGCATAGATTTTAACTTGATCATTAAATCAGAGCACAAGGGGGTATGTTGAGGCTAAAATAAGAGGTCAGTTTTACATAGGAATTGATTAGTCCAGCATCCTCAGGGTAGTGCAAAATTAACTTTGTTTGAATCATGGCCCTTAGGGTGGAATCATCCAAGTTTTGCTGGGGAATAAAGAAAAAAGTCTTTAACAATCTTCTTTTGAAGAACAGTAGGGCCAAGACATGATGCATTTGGCCAAGTGTAAAAACTGTACAGGGGCAAATTGCTTTCATAAGAATGTAGAAATAATTTTTTTTTGATTTGAAATATTCTAAAGAAAACAGGACCAAAGTAACTCAGGTGAGCTAAGTGGCTCATGTTTCTTTGTTTATTGTATATGTGTATAGAGTATTGTTTTGTTTCTCAGGCAAACATTATGTATGAAAAAAACTTTTATTCTTGCATTATAGTATTGATTTTTAAAATATCTTTGAAGGTCCTTGATACAAGAAAGCAATAAATTAGAGTACTATTTGTCTGTGTTAAAGATAATATGCATTTTACATCTTGTTATACAACATTTACTTTTTTTTGGGGGGGGGGGGGGGAATTTGCCGTCAATTACCTTTGCATATGTTATTAACAAGAGGCCCACAGGCCTTGAATCGCTCTTCTTGTAAACTGTACAACCTATCACTTCTATTTGAAGCCTCTAAGTATCCTGTACATGTGTATTTAGATAAAGCCTTGAAATTCCAAACTTAGGTCATCATGACCTACATTTTAGATGAAACACTCTGAGAACCCAAGATGATTCTAAGCCAACAAGCAAATTCAGAGAATTGTGGTCCCCCGCTTTCGGTGTCTTAGTGGATGGGATGCCATTATTTATGGCTTATTGTAACTGTCTTGTTTGTGTGTCCTGTCTTGTCTGTGCATTATACAAAAAAGATATAAATTATTGAATTAATAACAGATATGGCAAAGATTATAACCTCTCAAAACTACATCAAACTTCAAGATCAAGGTCATGAGGTCAAATATCATATTAAAATCCAAAAGGTTTTGTCACAAGTAATGCACATGTAAAAAAAAAATATCAAAAACCAGATTATACAATCAGAGAGGTTTTGAAACAGGTAATGCACATGTCACATGTAAATACCATATCCTCTCTCAATTAAAAGTTATTAGCAATGCTAAACTTTTTAAAAATTAGGTCAAACGTCAAGGTCATGGGATTGATGTCGAATATGAATGCCCTATCTTTGCTCCTTCAAAAGTTAGCACCACTGATGAAATGTTTGAAAATTAGGTCAAACATGAAGGTCAAGGTCACGGGGTCAAATATTATAGCATATTTAGAAACATTTTGACACAGGTAATGCACTTTTCAAATATGAACGCCCTATCATATGTCATTCAAAAGTAATCAACAAAGTTAAAATTTTTGAAATTTAGGTCAAACATAAAGGTCAAGGTTAAGGGGTCAAAAATCATAGCATACTCGAAAACACCTTGTCACTTATAATGTACATGTCAAATATAAAAGCCCTATCTATTCTCAATCAAAAGTTATAAGCAAAGATAAAAATTTTGAAAAGTAGGTCAAATGTCAAGGTCATGGGGTCAAAACCCATAATATATTTGGAAAGGTCTTATTACAGGTAATGTACATATTTAATATGATAGTTGTTTCTTTTCTCATTCAAATTTTATGACCAATTTAAAGTAATATTAATTTCTTGAAAAGTAGGTCAAACTTCAAGTTCAAGGTCACGGGGTCAAAAGTCATAGTATATTTTCGAGAGGTCTTGTCACAGGTAATGCACATTAAATATAATACCCTATCTCTTCTCAATCAAAAGTTATAAGCAAGGATAAAATTTTGGAAAAGTAGGTCAAACTTCCAACGTCATGGGGTCAAAATTCGTAGTATATTTAGAAAAGTCTTGCCACAGGTAATATACAGGTAGAATATGAAAGCCCTATCTTTTTTCATTCAAAAGTTATGACCAATTTAAAGTAATGTTAATTTTTTTGAAAAGTTGGTCAAACTTCAAGGTCAAGGTCACGGGGTCAAACATTACAGTATAGTTGGAAAGGTCTTGTCACAGGTTATGTACATGTGAAATACGAAAGCCCAATCTCTCTCACTCAAAAGTTGTGGCCAAGGTTAAAGTTTTTGTGACAGACAGACGAATAAGATTTAATGTCCCCTCGCCTTTGCGAAAGCAGGGGACAAATAGTACCTGAGAGTAGGTCATTCTCTGAGGACTCAAGATGCATCAACTAAGTCTGATGATTCTAAGCCAGCTAATACCTAAAATATTTAATTATAACCATAAAATTTCAAAAGTAGGTCACAGTGACCTACTTTTCAGATGACATACTTTCAAGATCCAAGATCCATCAACTGACAAAGTTTGATGATCATAGGCCCTAAAGTGTCCAAAATATGCCTCTGAAACTATTTGAAAACAAATGCCTGCAAAACTCAAAAAGTAGGTCATTGTGACCTACATTTTGATAAATGTGTTTTTAAAGGTTCCAAGATGCATCAACTTACAAGGTTTAACAATTCTATTCCTCACAGTATCTGAAAAATGACCTTAAATGTTTTGGAAAATACAAAAAAGTAGGCCAAGGTGACCTACTTTTCAGTTGACGTTCCACTTGACCCCAAGATGTGTCAGCTGACAAAGTTTGATGATCAATTTGAAAACGAAGGCCTGCAAAATTCAAAAAGTAGGTCACAGTGACCTACTTTTGAGTCAACATGAAACGAGGTCCTAAGGTGCATCAACTGACAAGATTTGATTATCCTAGTCCTTATAGTAAGCAAAATATCAAAGTTTTAATGAAATATAATTTTTGGTCAACTTTGATGTGACCTCGAGACCGCGCCCTTTGCCCCAGGGTTATGCCTTGCACAATTTTTAATCTACAACATATCCTCATCCTTGTATGTAAATTTGGAGATAATCTGCCCAATGGTTCTTGAGAAGATTTTTTAGCAACCAGTGCTTTTGGTTTTATTTTCCTACTTATCTCCCCTTGTTTAGGGGTCACATATTTTGTTTTAGTATAAATGAGAGCCCTTGGGCCAAGGATACTCTGCGACAAATTCAACAAAAATCGGCCAAGGGGTTCTAGAGATATAGCCCATATTCTAAAAAGTTTACACACACCGCACAAATGGCCATAGCATTAGCTCTTTGAGCCTTTGTGCTCAACTCTTAGAAGCAGCTCAGGGATTATTTAATAGAATTAATGCATTTTCAATATATCATAGAACCCCACCCTTACACCAGAACATCTATCCCAGGGGTCATGAAACTCACAATTCTGGAGGAAGCACTCTTGCTCATCATAACTATACACTTGGTTTCTTTGCTTTAAAACCAGGAGCAGAATAAAACATTTTCAAAGAAATTATGCTCTTTCACTATATAATCAATAGAGCCCCCACCCCTTTCACCAGAACCCCCGACCCTGGGGCCATGAATTTCAAAATTTTGGAAGAGGCATCTTTGCTTATAACCATGCACTTAGTGTGTTTAAATAACACCCAGGAGCAGAGAAGAAGATTTTCAGAATTTATGCATTTTTACTAAATAATCAATAGAACCCCACCCTGACACTAGAACCCCTGAGCCAGGGGCAATGAAATTCACAATTTTGGAAGAGCCAAAGGTAAAGGGATCATGGTATATTATAATCATGACAATAGTTTGAATGCTTCGTGTTTAGGAGTAGAGAAGATTTTTGAACATTCCATTAATTTTAATGGTCTGGCCCCCTCAGGTCCAACAGGGACAGGGATCATGAAATTCACAATTTTTGTCCCCCTTTGTTTAAAGATGTTCTATAGAAAAATTTGATGAAATCAGTTCAGTGGTTCCAGAGAAGAAGAAAATGTTCAAAAGTTTACGACCCATGAACAACAACAGACGAAAACAGATTTCAATAGCTCACCTGAGTGACTCAGGTGACCTAACAAAATTCTGCATGGAAAAAGAATAGAGTGAAAACATAAATTTATTTGGAGTGTTCATATAAATTTTGTGAAAAGATAGATGAAACACATATCATACTGAGCATGTACAAGTATAATCAATATTAAAATTAAAATATGTGAAAAATTGTTAGTATTTTAGTAAAATGTTTATGCTCATTCTTTCCCCCAATAAATTTTCAAATACTGACCAAATATGAATCATATATATTAGATGGCCTTAAACATGTATAATTAAAAACAATGGACACTCATACACGGCCCCACATTATTTTCATTTTTATAATCTACACCCTTTGAGCAAGTGACATTTAAAAAAGATACATACCACAATCAAAGTTTCTTATCTTCCACACAGAAGAGTTCACTGGAATTTTTTCAATATTTCTTTCAATGGAAATGTAATTAATAAATTTTAATTGTATATAATGTAAAAATAGACTCTTGAAAATGTCCCCAGAAACTTTGAAGCAAGAAAACTGAATACATTTTATCAACTTTAAAAACATATTGAACTGTAATGTTGCATATTTGCACTTTTTGCCAAATAGTGTGCCTTGGTCAAATATTAAGTTGTTTAACTATACAAATATCAATTCCAAAGTGAGAAAGGCACCTAATTAAGCAAAGATATCTGAATTTTGGAGAAAAAAAAGTTTGTTTGCGTTATTTATCCTTAATAATCTATAACTGTTTCTCTGAGTGTGTCTTCAGAATAAAGTCTGCATGTTGAATTTTTTGTCCAAAACGAAAGAGTTTATTGTTTGGATGTAAAACATAAAGATCAATCTTGACTGAGAATAAAATTTACAACCTATAGATCAACCTATTATACAAAGTGAAAAAAATTCAATTATAACTTAACAATACCAAAGTAAGTGTGCTTCACTAAAACCCATATCAAGTGTCTTGATCCTTTGATCATTTAAGTAAATACATGTTAACAAGATTTTATGCATAAAAATATGTTATTGCATCAGAATGTCATCCAAACAAACTTATCTCTGACAAAGTTATTCTAAAATATATAAAATGAGTTTTGCCAAAGCAATCTCTTTTCATATTATTCATGTGAATTCTATGGATTATATGTCCTTATCGCATTGCACCAAGCATACAATATCCACAGGAAATGAAATCAGTGGCACAGCTAAGCATCTGGGCTTCCACATCAATCCTGAAAAAAAAAATTCATCTATCATCTTTATTCTAACCAGCATTTTGATTTCAAATGAAGGATTTATATATTTGTATCAGCTTGTATGTCACCTTCCTATATACATGTAGTAACTATTGATATCCTTTCATACAATATGTACAAGTATTTAATGAAAAATACAAGTCATAAATCATGCATGGATCCAGGGGGAGTCTAGAACACCCCCCTCCTCCCCTGGAGTGTTCAAAATTTTCAACTTTGTATAGTTAGGTAGTCAAATATTTTTTTTTTTTTTTTGAGAGGCTTTTTTCGTAGGTGTGCCTCCCCTGGAAAAAATTTCTGGCTCCATGCATAATGCATGTAAAAGAACAATTAAATTATCCATAGAAATAAATGCCATTGTTATCTCCAGTTTGGTGCTTTACAGCTGGTTTTATTTTATACTCTTGAAGCCTTCACATTCTCTAACCAAATATCCTGTCTTTTTTTCCTAAAAATATTGCTTTCAGATGTAAAAGTTTGATTGCAGTTAAATACAAATACTTATTATATAACAAAGGTCAAAGTAAAAAAAAAGAGGCCCATAGGCCACAACACCCACCTGCATATTTGTGGCCCTTCATGTTCATCAGCAGATTCTTTTTTTAGATATAATCCCATGTAAAATCTAAATTGATCATTAACTGCAGTTCAAGCCTATTTCCAGAAGTTATGATTTGAATAAACTTGAATCTACACTATCAGAGAATGCTTCCAAATAAACATATCTGATCATGGCTTTACAGTTCTTGAGAAGATTTTCAAAGATTATATATATATATATATATATATATATATATATATATATATATATATATATATATATATATATATATATATATATATATATACCCATTTAAAACTTTGATTGGCCATAGTGGTCACACCCTAACCTAGGAGTCATGATCTGAACAAATTTGCATGTACATTATGTTTGGAAGCATTCATGTAATTTTCCTTTTTTCTGGTCCAGTGGTTCTTGGGAAGATTTTTAAATGAACTCAACCAATTTTCACTTTTTCTTAATTATCTCCCCTTGGAAGAATTTGTGAAACCCTTTATTTGAACAAACTTTAATTTACCTCACCCAGTCACATTCTATACCAAATTTAATTTAAATTGGTCCAGTGGTTGTTGGGAAGGGGGTAAATTTGTAAAAGTTGATGATGACAATGACAGACCATGGATAATTTTGATCAGAAAAGTTCACTTGAGCCTTTGGCTCAGGTGAGTTAATAATGGCTAAGTTGTGAATCCCAGTGTTTTGCCTGTATGTCTCTGGTCTTAGTCTTTAGTTGTTTTGTAAAACAGGCCCCTTACACCTAAATCTAAACAAGAGATGTTTGTGAAACACTTACCCCCCCCCCTCCCCAGGACATACATTATACTACAGGGTTCACAAGCATGGGCAGTATACATTATGGGCAGTGTACATGGAAGTGAAATTGACCTTTTGAACTGAAAATTAATAGGGGTCATCTACCGGTAATATTTGAGATGCATCAACCAGAAATAGTCTTCTACATCACATCTTTGGCAAAAACATGTTTCTCATGATATGTCAGTAATTAATTTATTCAACCTTTGCAGAGATAATGAACAGAGAGCAAATAGTTGGAGTTTTCCTAAGTCCAAGGGGCATAACTCTGCCAAAAATTGCTCGATTGTACCCAAAACAGAGCTTGACCTAGATATTCTTCTGATAAATCTATATACCAAATTTCATTTCAACATGTCCAACCTCTGCAAAGAAAATGAATGGAAACTGCAAATAATTGGAACTTTTCTAAGTTCAAGGGGCATAATCTGTCAACATTGCTCAATCGTACCTAACACAGAACCTGACCTAGATATTCATATCATAAATCTGTATACTAAATTTCATTTCAGTGTGTGCAACCTCTGCAAAGAAAATGAATGGAAACTGTTGGTGGACCGACAGACAGACAGACTGACTGACCGACCAACAGACAGCAGCAAAGCAATATGCCCTCCCTTCTTCAAACGGGGGCATAATAAATGTACAAATCTCTGAACTTGAAATTGGTAAACTATACCTGTTTAGCTCTTTTTATGGGTGCCCTATCAAGGCTGCCCTCTTCTGGATTCTGTTGTTGGTTCAAATTAGGTTTTAAGCAATATTTGGAGTTGACCTTGACCTAAATGGTGCTTTTCAATCTTCGAATAAGAAGAAACAATACATGATTAGCAAAACAAATACAAACTTGTATGATTATCATCTTGTAACTTTATATGTAAATTAAAAAATTATGAAAATCAATGCAAGTTGTTAACTTCATTACAAACATTATTTATCATATCTGCTAAGTTCACAATGTGATTTAAAGCCAAGGACAATAAAAATCAATTCGCTATAAGCATCAATTCATTGTAAGCATGTTCACATTAACGGTGTTTTACTGTACTGACCTTTGGACTTGAAACTGGTGCATTAATTAATTCATCATCTTTTATCTTGCAAATCCAATACACAGAGTGGTTTCTTTCAAGCTGACATCAGTCTTGGCCTTTGATCTTTGACCTTGACATTGGAAAACATAATATAATTCCATTATGTATGATTGCTGGTTTCCTTTTTGTCAAAACAAATAGAAAGTATATATAGACAATTATAAATTTGAAATGCTTGTAAATGAAGTGTACCATCTTCAGCTGCACATTCCTAATTACTGCAAAATGGTTTTCCCTACCCATAGTCCCCAGTCAGCATGCGTCAATCTAAAATACTATTAATAGTTAATACATATTTAATATACATGCATTAGTCATATATATGTGTATCCGCAAATAATATAAAAGGATACATGTACATGTATATTTAAATTTTCAAGAAACAATATTTTTTTCCAATACAAGAAGTCGCACAAACATTGTTTGCTAATTATTTTTCTTAATTAATATGAATACATGTATAAAAAGCATTTTTTCATAAAAAGACATGATTAAAATTCAAATTTGATGTATTTGCCCCAAATTACAAGAAGTAAAAGAACACCTACCTACATATCTATCACCAGTCTTGGTATGGGTCTGCAGTTTAATATGTTGATGGTTCAGTACACACAAATCACTGTTACTTGGTACTAGAAAGAAAAAAAATGTATATAAATGATACGTTTAAATTTAAATTGAAAATATATAATGCAGTAGGTGTTGTAATTTATCTGTATATAGCAGGATGAAGCCCCCCTTCCAATTTAGCCCCAAAGTTCTACATTTGAATGAGAGTATAAACAAATTTCTTTTGAATGCATTGTAAAACAACTTGATTCTAAATGCAACTAAAATACCATATTTCTTCATGGTCGTAACTGCATAGAAAATTAAAGAGCCGTTTATTTTTTAATTGTGTAACAAATGTGTCGATAGACAAATTCGAATTTCCTCGATGAAAACTGCTGAATGTCTTGATTGTTGGAATGTTGTTCATACGATTTATTCCAAAAAACCATTGCATAAAATACTTATTTAAAACAGCAAACTAAGCTATTCATAAAGATTTACAAGTGAAAATTCACCTGAACTTACCTTACTTGTCAGCTGAGACGAACGGGGAGGTTGGAAACCCAATACACGGTTTTTCGGCGTTAGGGAAGCGCTTACATATTATCCTACTAAAGCGAATCTTGACTGTGTTTGGAAGTCATACATCCTGGCGCAATGCAATCATAACCTTAAATCTTGACTGCGTTTGAGAAAATACATCCTGACTTTGCCAGGATTGACGCTTGAATAAATCATGACTGCGTTTGGAAATCATACATCCTGGCGCAATGTTATTCTGACTAGGCCAGGATTGACGCTTGAAGAAATCTTGGCTGCGTTTGAAGAAATACATCCTGACTTGGCCAGGATTGACGCTTGAAGAAATCTTGGCTGCGTTTGGAAGTAATATATCCTGGCGCAATGCAATCCTGGCCGACCAAGATAGGATGGTCATATGTTGTCAATCCTGACTTGGTCAACATTGAATCATGACCCGACCAAGACAGGATGACCATGTTATCAATCCTGACTTGGTCAAGATTAAATCATGACCTGGCCAAGATAGGATGGTCATGTTATCTTGACTTGGCCAGGATAGGATGGTCATGTTATCAATCCTGACTTGGTCAAGATGACCGGCCAAGATAGGATGGCCATGTTATCAAACCTGAGTTGGCTAAGATAGCATGGCCATGTTATATAAATCTTGACTTGGCCAAGATAGGATGGCCATGATATATGATGACCGGCCAAGATAGGATGGCCATGTTATCAATCCTGACTTGGCCAAGATAGCATGGCCATGTTATAAATCTTGACTTGGCCCAGATAGGATGGCCATGTTATATGATGACCACGGCCAAGATAGGATGGCCATGTTATAAATCTTGACTTGGCCAAGATAGGTTGGTCATGTTATCAATCCTGACTTGGTTAAGATGATGAAAATCATGGCTTGGTCATGTTTGAAATCTTGACATGGTCATGATTACCATCCTGACCGGCCAGGATTGATTTACAATGAAATATATAGAACATGACATGGGGGTCCCCTATGGCTTTCCATATTATGGCTTTTAGAATACAAAGAGATACGGGAGAAAATTATGGCTTCCATACATTTACGGTTGATGGAGATTTGTTATATATAGACAACAATGGAAAAACCATTCAAAGAATGACCCCTGATAAAAAGTTTAGGAGATTCATTACTATTAATATAGGAGATTGGAGAGCACAAAGTGTCTACTCCTCTCCCGCTAGCGGAGATGTTCTGGTGGGACTAAGTGACGGCAAAGAAGCAAAGTTGACAAGGTACAGCAATACAAGAAAGAAGATCTTAGACATACAGAAAGACGACAAAGGAAGGAAACTGTACAAGACGCCACGTTATACTACAGAGAACATAAATGGGGATATATGTATATCAGATTTCTACAATCACGCCGTGGTTGAGAATAAATCGGGAGGACATCGGTTCTCTTACACACGTCTGGAGCCCCCAGGCGGCTTGCTGCCTACTGGAATTGCTACTGACAGCCTTGGTCATATCCTAGTTTGCAATGCCAGACTACAGTGTAACGATGTCCATCGCCTTGATATTGACGGTAATTTCCTATTCCTGTTGATCACACCACAATATGGAGTATCCGCTCCCCGTGGTCTGTGTGTGGACTGTAATGACAATCTTTATGTAGGGGACATGGACAACCAATTAGTAAATGTTTATATATACCTTCGATCAGTGAACGACTGAAATTAAAATTTGTTGTAGAAATTTGTAAAACAGTGTGTACATGATATATACAGTAATGCTATTTAAAACAAAATCATATTAATAACGAACTGACAAAAAAAGGGAGAAGGAACATCGATGAAAGAAAAGCGAGCACTCGGAGACCTAATTGTCTTGAATTAATTAATTATCTTACCTCGATAAACTCCCATTTTGCGCACATGCATTTTTCTTATATCTAATTTTCAAATTTGTGCAAAACGGGAACAAACCGTATAAATTTAGAGAAGCAAGCCAACTTATAACAATTTGTCCATGTAGATAACATGATCTTTTTCTTGCCAGGATCACATCAAAAAGTACGTGATCAAATTAAAATAACTAATGAAAAGGTCCAAAACGAACTCGGTCCAAGTGTAAGTTGACATTCATCTAGCTTTTATAAATATCTGAGGGATGACACGATGATTTTTATATCAAAAGAAATACACAAAGAATCAAATGTAAGTTGTATGTTTGGCAAAAAAAGCTTAATTAGATATATGCTTCAGTTAAAATTCATATGAGTCCCTGCTTCATTCTAAAGTGTTGTTATTTCATATGAAAAGAAATTCAACGAGGGAAGGAAGTTAGAGATACCAACGAAGACGACACTAATAACAGTTTTGTTCCACGGAAGCTCTTTTTCTTTAAAGTGGATTCATTTTTAAAGACAGTAGTCGTATTTTAACTTAACCTCAGAGAGAATTATATCTGTAACGCACTATAATATCTCTATAATTCTCTCTCTTACAGAGTAGGAGTGCTTCGTCAGAAGAACGGGTGATTGTTCTACACGCATCCTCAAGTGCTTTAGAGGAAAACTATGAGTCTGTAACAAAAAGGGTTTTATATTGTTGATATACTTGGTGTAAGCGTCTTAAGATGATACGAATTTTCCAGTCGGCGAGCAGAGTAATAATTATGTTGACATCAGTGCACACCAAGCTTTTTAGAGAATCTAAATTTAAGGACATACGCAACGTAGTTTGAACTTTATTGTGTTTTTCTCTGGAGTTGAAGAGTTCCAATTTTTAAAGGAACTGTGTGATACATTTTAATGTCTAAATATGCTGTTGTACACTTCTTCTAAAACAAGTTTGGATTAACAAATCATCTAGAATATATGTTTAGTAATTTTTGTATATTTTTCTTTGAATTATACAAGAATTTTCATCAATGAACATCTTTTCAAAACCCCTGGTAATGCATGCTAATTTTTTGTGTACGAACATCTGAAGGCACTATAATCTTAAATTAAGAATATCTTGAAAAATTATCAGTAGGTAAGGTACGTTGCGTATGTCCTTTACTTACTTACACCACCATACGACATTATACATGTACAAGCAAGATCCAACATAATTATGTTGACATGCGACTTATTTATGTGAACATGCATGATAATTATGTTAACATGCAAGATATGTATGTCAATATGAGAGTTGTTTTTGTTGACATGCAACAGAATTATGTAGACATGCAACTTATTTATGTCAACATGCGACTTATTTATGTCAACATGCAACTTAATTATTATGTCAACATGAGACTTAAAATTATTCATGTCAACATGCGAGTTATATATTTTAACATGCATGATATTTATATCAACATGCAAGATAATAAGTTGCATGTCGACAGTTGAAATAATGCCTGAAGATACACATAGAAATAGTTATATGGTAGAAGAATTGCATATGTTTTAATTATCAACGCTAACACTCGTGTTACTCAGGTTTCTTTTTAAAAAAAACACTGCATTGTTATAGGTCACTATAGTGTGCTTTATTCAGAATATGTTTTGTCTAATAATTGTTAGAATGCCAAATATTAGACTGAAAAACTTCCTTGACAACGTAAACGGCCGTATACCTGAGTTATTAACTAACCAATGAAAGAAAAAGGGAGTTGTTGATTTAGAGTACACGTCCTGGTCGAGCTCTATTTTCATTGAAAAGTTTTATCAAACATACTTATTATAAATCTCATTTCGACCCTTTCATTTGCTGAAAATACTTGTCTAGCTGTATTTCAGAATATTGAACATACAGAAATATAATTATGTCATCATTTTGGAATTGTTACGTCACAAAACTATTATGATCAGTCGGTCACAATACACGTACTGTATATATTTCATGTTTGTTTACAATTATAGCAAAAACATCAACTTCCCTTATATGCTTGGCGTTTTATAAAACAATATTCAGAGCTTTTTAAATGCCCATTAGTATTCAATGAATTTGCATTGGCCCCGTAAAATGTCAAGAATACTTGAATTCATTACTCATTACCCTGAAGATTTCACTTAAATTTATTTTTAAATCTAAGACTAAGGGCAGATCAATGTAACTACATAAAAATATCACGGAATTAAGAAAAACTGTTTCCTCGTTTGTTATAAATTGCGATCGTTTAATCTAGAATTAATAGTTGTTTTTTTTTTTTTCTACTTTATATACTTTTTTCTACTATAATATAAATACTTTTTCTACTATTTTCTACCATACTAACTGAGAAATTGATTTGAATTTCATTTTCGTGTACTCACAGAGAAAATCGCGTCAAAGTGAAGTCACAAATCACAATGAGGCTACAGAGACGTCAATAATAGTATAACGATATAGGACAGCGAGAAATTCAAACATTAAGTGTATTTTTTCTGCTTTTAAACATGTAAAATGTAAATATATTAAGGAATGGTTTTTTTTCGGTTGCGTATGAATTATTGGTGTGTAAATCACACAGACTTGCACATAAGCATATTTTTACTAATATTCCTACTAATTAAATATCTTAAGTGTGTAGTGCATAGAAAGACCTTAATTTTTTTTTAAAGTCTCAAAAGTTACAAAGGCTTTTGTGGAAATCAACGCTCGGAAACCGAAATCGAGTTATTTCAAGGACAAGTTGACTAGTATCCCTCCAGTTCCGGGAGAAAATCGAAATAGTGAAAGTAAACAACAACTGAGCTCTGGAAGGTGTATCATTTTGAAGTGTGAAAGACAATAATGTTGTCTTAATAAGCAGCATAGACATAAAACGAAGTAGTAAGTAATAATTATACTAGCTATTTCGTCATTCGGTATTTAATAGATATAAAGTTCTATCGTTAAAATGATATTGTCCTACGGACCCGGTGAGGGCTTGTCCCGAGACACAGTTAGATTATTCTAACTAGGTATTTACCTGAGCTGAGCGGCTCATAACCATGTCAACTAAAAACCTAAACGACTCGTAATCAAATCCTTTACCTGTTTTGACAAGTCGAGGTTGTATCAAACATTTAAGAGTTCAGTTATCAGTTAAAG